AGACAGATTCATATTTTTGTGTTCATGAGATGTAAGAATATTATTGTTATGACAGAAATTTTACCCTCCACACTCACTAAATGTGGATGTTATTGACAGAAAGAAATAATGACATTTACACACTCACAAACAGGATCATTTTCAGCAAGGAAATTATCAGCAGCTTCTTCTGCTGACTGTCTGTAGTGACAGGGTATCAGGCAAACAGTGTACACCTTTACAGACTTTACTTGGGCGCCCATGCAGACACAGGCTCCTAGCAGGGAATGTGAGAGTGTCTGCTTGGATTGTATAATATGCAAATAGCCAGCAATCACTTTTATTTTCATTTCTGCAAATGACATAGAAACCTTATTTATGCAGCTTAGTGACACCTGAATGTGTGTATGTCAGGAGCTTTACCCGGTAGTAACCGGAGGAGTGTCAGAGACCCAGGAGCTGCTGCGCCAGCGGTTCGATCACATCTTCTACACCGGCAACAGCATGGTGGGCAAAGTGATCATGGACGCTGCCGCCAAGCACCTGACGCCTGTCACCCTGGAGTTGGGTGGAAAGACCCCCTGCTACATTGACAAGAAGTGTGACATAGCCATAGCCTGCAGGTCACAACAACTTGCTTTTACCTCCTCAGTCACTCTGTAGCTGTTTTTTCCTGGCACCCTCCTGACATTTATTTCTTTCCTGTATAGGCGTATCACTTGGGGAAAGTACACTAACTGTGGTCAGACCTGCATTGCCCCAGACTATATCCTTTGTGAGCCCAGCATCCAGGACCAGGTCATCGAAGAGGTCAAGAAGTCCATTAAGGTAGTGACAAGCTGAAAACACAGCTCTAACACTAAGTAATGGTTTATTTGTACCACTTCAACACAGGTGGTGTCTTCAGTTAATTGAGTTTGTCTGGATTTTATGAGAATATTTGCATAGTTATGAGATGGTTTCCTCTGGCAGGAGTTTTACACAGACAACCCAAAGACCTGCTCTGACTATGGACGCATCATCAACCAGCACCACTTCAAGAGGATTATGGCCATGTTGGAAGACAGCACCATCGCTGTAGAAGGAGACAACGATGAGTCAGACTGCTACATAGGTACTAATACCCCTGACAGCCCCCAGCTCTTCATATGAAAGGCGTTATCTACCTGAGTATGTGATTCAGTTGGCTCAAAAGCATTTCTTTGGAGCTATTTTCCTTCCTGTACACATGTTAAGAATGGAGAACAAAATGTAAAAGCATTGATTTGATAAGTAGTATTTCTGTGCTGTGTATAGCTCCAACGATTCTGCGTGACGTGAAGCCAGAGGCGAAGGTGATGCAGGAGGAGATATTTGGACCTGTGCTTCCCATCTTACCGATCAGCAGCCTGGACGAAGCGATCACATTTATCAACAAGAGAGAAAAACCTCTGGCCCTCTATGTCTTCACATCAGATGACAAGGTATTCAACAGTAGATACTGCACATATGCAGCTGCACAGCTAAGCAGGCAACAGACACAGACCTGTACATGTACACATGTACACAGATTCAGACTCATGGGAATAACGAGCTTTTTTTCTCTTCTCTCTAAAGGTGATACAGAGAATGAGAGACGAGACCTCCAGTGGAGGACTGCTGGCCAACGACTGTCTCGTACACTATTCTGTCAGCTCTCTGCCTTTTGGAGGAGTGGGTGAGTACCCAGAGTGATGACTCTTTGCAGAAATGGTATTAGAGTTTACTACTAATGCTCTCTTTTGTTTTTTTCATACATTGATGAATTTACCTGCTCACTCACTCAATGGCAGCAGATTGTCTGAGGGGCAGGGTGTAAATGAATGTCTAGGGGGACATTAAGGCAATTTATACTCTGTCCAAACTGTGTGTCAGGTGGTGACATGGCTTCAGAAACCACCTCTAGCTCCATTAAACCGTCTCCTTGTGTATTTCATGTACAGGAAACAGTGGTATGGGTTGCTACCACGGCAAGTTCAGCTTTGACCAGCTGAGCCACCTGCGTAGTTGTCTCATCAAAAAGCTGAATAAGGAGGGGATGAACAGCATGAGGTACCCACCCCACACAGTCAAGAAACTAGGCTGGGCTCGCTTCTTCATCCTGAAGGCTGTAGACCTGGGCTGGATCAGATGGATGGCGCTCTTAGCCGTCCTGCCTGTGGTGGCCGCTGTTGTGCTACAGGTGAGTTATGGAGGCCATTCCACTGTGTTTGTAGGCACAGCATGTTTGCACTGTGCATCATGGGGAAGCAAAGCTGGATACAGTTCAGATATGTTGCTCGTGCTCCTTCGTGGTTTGACGGACAAAGTGTCTGCCAAGCGAAAGTAATACAGCAGAATAATATTACTGTATTTCTGATACTTGAAATACACTTTGCTGCTGATACTTAAGTACAGTCTGGGATGCCGGACATTTACTTTTAATGGAGTATTGTTGTTTTATACTATGGTACTGACACAGTATTTTTACACAGATCTCAGCACCACCAGTGGGCAGTGTCAATGCAGAGGAAGACGATGGGCCTCTAATTGGAGATTTTGTTTTTCATTTTTTTCAGAATTATCATTGAAGGCATCTGGATCTGTGGTTTCCTTAACCCTTGGCACCAGGGAGAAGAAGAGCAGCATGAACAGCTTTCTGCAGAAACCAAATAAGCATCTGCAGGGACCACTGTAATGCAGGGAATATTTCAGGTGTTGCCTTAAAACACTTTTCATTTCAATAATGGTCATAAGTTTAATGGAGCTCACTGCAGAGAGCATCTGATTTTCATGAAGGTAATTATTTATTCCCATGTATGGTTCTTATGTTTGTGCTCACCAGGCTTGCATACTTAAAATTTAAACGTATCTTTATTTTTTTCAAAATAATAAGTCTACTATATCACTGATAGTATGATGTCAGTATTTTTTCACCTTACTGTGATATGAACAGTACTTAGCATTTGCTACACAGAATTTACTAACAGCACCATCGCTGAAGGGTCAAAAAGCTGAAGTGTATTGAACTAACCTGTCATTTTTGTCGTAATGAAACTTGTTTTATTTTGTAGGAATTACCTACAGTTGACTGAGTCCATTCCATTTTAATGACTGATGAACCGTTAACCTCATGTTAGGTTTTGTTCTCACTGAAGACAGAGAAGACGACATGTCCACTTTGTCTCTGACACATTAGTGTTCAATCACAGGGCACTGCCTGAGTTTTATCTTACATTTTAATTTTTTATTTTCCTAAAACATTTCCTGAAACACCTGCAACAAATGAAAGCATTTTTTAAACAACAGTAGTAAGCCATTAAATTCGTAAGGATTCTATTATTAATAGTTTAATAAAATATGCATGTATATTAGATTAATACTGAAATAAATATATTTCTCCATGTGTCAGTTTTGATTTTCATGGCTTGTTATTACAGTATATTGTTTATTGTATTATATATTGGTCAAAGAGCAGCCAGGATGAATTTTAGTAATGCAGCTGTTTGAGGTGAAGCTCATATAAAAATTTAATTGTGCTATGCATAATGACAATAAAGATTCCTGACTGCTATCACTGGTCTCACAAGTGTTTCAGTGTCAACATTTCCTTTTTCAGTTATTTTGTTTTCAATGCCGAGTTGTATTTTTAGTGCCCAAATGGAAACACTTCATCTGTGAGTAAATTACACTATATAATTGCCACTGGTTACAGGACTAGAGTCTCTTTCTGTTATGTACAAAAGCTGGTCAATCATTTAAGCTGATGACTGAGTGAATGTCTGTGTGCAGTACCTCTATATTTATATTTTTTCATTAAAATTTAGGGCAGGAGTATATGATTGGGAGCAGATGAGGATATATATGGGACTGTGACTCAGTTTTTGGTCTGAATGGGAGAGGCAGAGGCTGCTTCCATGCAGCACAGGAAACTAGCTGGAAATAACGTCAGTATCTGATTTGGCCACCAGGTGTCTCCTTCCTCTTTCACACACCTGACAAATTGGGGTATTTGCTCAGTCACTTTTTCTCTTTCTTAAACTAACGCTTACATACACACACGCACACACCTTTTGTTATTGTCTCATGACAGTTTCCCTCCCACCCTCAGAGTCAGTATGTGAAGACAGCCGCATTTAGTCAGGGTCTTCTCTGGTCATGGATTGTTCTCTCTGCCTCCTCACTCTGGTTTCTCTCCTCTCTCAAGCCACAGGTAGGACACACACAAATTACTAAAACAGCTCAAACTGAATTAAGAGCTAAGCTTGGGTTTTGTTTTCTGGGCCCAGTTTACACCTTTGCACACATACTCATTTGGGAGTTTTATACTTGAAAAAGCACTTTTAATCCAGCTTAACATAGTATTAGTTAGGTTGGAGCTAAAGGTGTAATTAATAGACTGGATTTCAACCTGGGGAGTGCTCACAAAGAAGGAAAGAAGAAAAAACATTTTTGCAACACAGAATACTTTCATCATTGCTGTTTTTCTAATTTTATTTTTTTGAGACAAAATTTTAAAAAGGAGAGAAAAACAACTAATAGCCATTTGCAATTTATGTGCAACCAGGATTTCAAGCAGGGCAGTTATGATTATTTTCATTATCAATTAGCCTGTTGATTAATTTAACAATAAACTAACCACTTGCTTGTTCCATAAAACATTAGAAAACAGTAAAAAAAATGCCTGTGAACACAAAACACATGAACTTGTTATAATGTAACATAGGTAAATGCACCAAATTCTGCCATTTGAGAAATGTACAGTATTTCTACTTCAAAATAATTTTTCTGTTGTCAACATAGTTGCCAACTAATTTTCTGTAGATCACTGATTTTATTTGACTAATTCTTGTAGCTCTAGTGTCACAATGCCATTGCTCTATTTTAAAGCAATATTAAGTAATCTTTGTTGAAACACAACCACTTTGGTCACAATTCGCAATAAGAAATTTAAAAAAAAGGTATTTTGAAAAAAACGTCAGCACACGGACTCACTGACAGTCACACAGTGACATCTAACCAAAGCCTGCTAACTTTAGCTAACATCAGCTAGCATAAGCAGTGTACCGCTCATACAGACCATGTGTGGCTGTAGCAGGAAAAATCATGAGTGTGCTGAATTAATCTGCAGTGTTTTCTAATGCTTACAGTTCATAAGAAGAATATGTTACTTCTTGCAAATGCATAGTGTTGCTTTTAACGCAAAAACATTTTGGGGGCCATTGATTTAAGGCATGATTTTCTTCTAAGATGCTGGCTAATTAAAAAATAGCACTAAGTATAAGGAAAGGGGAAAAGAAATTAAGGAAAACAAAGCAGAGTTGGTGGATTTACAGTGGACAGGCTTAGATTTCCCTTGCTGGTGCTGCTCAGTGTATGAGCCAGGTGGAGTAAAGCCAACCTCCACCTGTGCATTGTTCTCAGCTGGTGAGAACTGTTGTCCTCTTTTGAAGAATGGCACTGTGGGGCGACAGCGGGGTTAATCAGCTAAAAGGTTCTCTATAGCACCTTTCATTCCCACCATGGCGTCACACACTGGAACTTCATTCACATCAGCAACATGATACACAACCACAGCAAAAATGGCTTCATCAGCACCAGCTGGGTGTTTAGCACAGCGGTGGAGAGGCAGTGATGGAGCTGGAAAAAGGTTTTCTGATCCAGACAGCCACTTTACACTGAATGCAATCAGTGTAATCAGAACAGACAACTGACATGTCTGCAAGATTAAAAATCAGTGTGTATTTTTATCTGGGCTATTATTCAGTGTGATATGTGTAGCTCCAATAATGTGAATTAGTGCCTTTTACTCAAACTAACTAAAAATTAAGTGAAGCATCTTCATTTTAATATGACATGTAAGTAAATACAATACAAACAAATCAGCTTCCAGTGTGACCAGACAAACTGTGAGAGTCTTCTGCTCAAAACATGCTCGATGTTATTCCCACTGAAGATGCTGTATCCCTGTTGTGTTCACTAGTTCACTATTTAAAACTATGCAGAGGAACAAAACTTTTGAACATTTGTAAGAAATCACCAGGGGCAGATCTAGGAAAATTTGATTGGGGTGGCCAGACTGGGGCACAGCCTGAAATACATTTATAAAAAGGTCAATTAAACCCCTAGTTCTGTGAAATAATAAACCATACATTACTAAGAGTCAGACAGTTTATTTTGTGTAAACATGAGACACACATAGCGCTATCTTTAGCTAAGTTTGGCTGCACTTCTTATTTACTCCCGGCCGGGGACATCGCTGCTGCACAGTACACCACCCCACCCCCACTCCCTACTGAGATCAATTACACCAAAATACTCCAAAACAACACAGTTAGAGAAATTAATGTAAATATCATGCTACATGCATGACATAAAATAAGACTAATCTGATCAATATCATTTATAAGGCACCAGAAAATGTTAGTTGTATTTAAGGCAAGAGACTCGGCACTAAAATCCACATCAGTTAATGCATTTGGCCTAATGGCACTGCAGCTAGTGTACAATATAGGCAGCATCTTTTTAGCTAGTCAGCTGAATGTAAGCACTCTGTTAAATTAATGGCAGTCATTGTGGTTTCTCTTTAACCCTACAAGTTCAAAGTGGTCCCAGTTCAGAAGATGCTTTGTCCCATTATTATTTTCCCTGTTAATCTCCAGTTAATATGCACTAAGCTCCGTGTTTTGACAGCTGCTCAGGAGGTCACTGGTCAGATTGTGTGCTATGACTGTAATGCATCATTAATTTGTCATTGGTGGTGATTTTGCCATGATTTATTTATATAAGTGCCATGAGAGAATTTATTTTTAACTGGTGAACACGTAAAAAAACATGCTGAAGAAGTAGTAATGTGAAAATGAATAATTATCTTGGATTATGTGTTTGTGCTTGCACAAACAGAACAGCTGGTACGACTTGTGACTGAGAGAGACATTGAGCTCATCAAGCGTGGATGTTAGAGAAGTTAATATTTATTTAAGTGCAGAAAGCCAGCTTGTTTGACACAAGGGATAAATATCCTGAACGAGAATATAGGTTACTGTAATGCCCGTGTCTGTACTCTTTCTCCAGCTCAGTGGTGTTACCAGAGCCAGTACTCCTGTGATGACACATGCAGAGGTAAGAGCAGACAGAGAGCCTGCCAAGGACTTTAAGAGACAAATCCATCAGTGAGCGCAGATTCAGAACTGCTGAAGATAAAACACTGATCTGGACCGTATTAGCTGTATCATGCTTCTGTGCACCCCATAGCTGTTAAATGTTCCACAAGGTTCACCAGATAAATGCTGTGTCTGTACGTCACGTAGCTTATAATGTAGCATTTGAGAAAGCTTTCGCTAAAACAAAGAAACAAGTAAGCAAACAAACAACAACACAATGAGAGTTGTGTGAGTGAACCAAAACAGTTGTGAGCTCTAAAACCAAAGCAAAGAGCTGAAACTGGCTATAAAGCAGATAGAAACTGTTGAGTCGAGTGATAATTCTGTGTAGAGACCTCACGAGAAGGTACCCTTTTTACTCAGAGTGGATTAAGGAGAGTGGGACACCTCCATCCCTTCTCTCATCTGCTACACAGGGAAAACAAAATCTTTCTGAATGATCTGAAAGATAACAATCAGACAGCACAACCAGTCACTGAAGCCAAAGATCTGATGATGTTGTGTATGTTGCTGTTTGTGTTGTCTAGACCCCAGCCGCTGGGAAGTGCAGTTTCCCAGCTGTGGAGGATTACACCAGTCACCAATTAATATTGTCACCAGCAAAGTGCACGTTGACAGCAGCCTGCCACCCTTCGACTTCATTGGTCACACCAACCCAATCAACATTACAGTGACAAACAAAGGACACTCTGGTAATAAAGAGCATGATTTGGTTTATATAACATACAGTACTTTAGGGTAATATTCTCTAACATTATGTTCAGTCCAGCCTGTTAATGCTACATATACTTCAATAGTACCAGGAACCTTAATTCCCAGGAACTAATATCTAGGAACTTTTCCATAGGTAAATATTTCTTTCAGCACACGGTGACTTGCGATTCCAGTGCAGGTTTCTTTGTACAAAAGTGGACATTAACACCTGGACTTTGTCACTGGTCCATCAGTCATTGCTCCATCCTGATTATTGGCAGCAACAAGCTACAATGTTTGTAGCTGTGGATTTTTTAAAAATACTGGCTGTAACCTATGACAATGCTTTGGAAAACAAACATAATGACCAATAAGCAACATTCAGCGCTGCAGGCTCCACCCCAAAAGTTCCTGGAAGTTCAAGAAGTACTACCCCCCTGAGCCAGGACGTCTTTGGGGGTAAAGCTTAATTGAGACCTGGCTCCTTTTGTAAAAGTAGTGGAACCCGGCCCCTCGAAAGGTTCCTGTTCCCTGTGAAAATGCATTGCAGCTTTGACATCTGTGTTAAGAAACATTCACTCTGCCCTACAGCTCACTTTGCCCTGCCGCAGTCAGTTCGACTGACTGGAGGAGCTCTGCCGGGTCACTACAGAGCCAACCAGTTTCATTTCCACTGGGGAGGGAGTGGGAGACCAGGATCAGAGCACACCATCGACGGAGAGAGATTCCCCATGGAGGTACACCAGTCAAGAGCAAGCACATAATAAGCAGGCTTTTTTTTAGTACTGTTTACTAGGCGCCAGTGTTTTACAAGTGGACGTTCAAGCATATGGCATGTCATTAGGTAAGGCATAATAGAATTATAGCAGCTTCAGGCAGAGCTCATTTGACAAAAACACACGTGTTCTGTGTTGTTCAATATTGATTTGTGTAGCACTAAGCTAAAATCAGGTGGTGTTTTAACAAAGGTCAACAGTTTTAACCACAGGGCACTACAGTAATAACTGTACCCCTCTGTCTTCTCACTGTGCAGCTGCATATAGTCCACATCAAAGAACCATACAGCTCTCTGGCAGAGGCAGAACATGATATGGCAGGTATAGCTCTGCTCGCATTTCTGTTTGAGGTAATACATCAAAATATATTCAATTTAATAAGAATTAATTAAATGACCATTTAGGCTTGTGCCATAATAATGACGGTGTCTCCTCACAGGAAACAAAAGACGATCATCCACATTTGAACAATGTAATTGCTGCTTTGGGCCGAGTACAAAACAATGGTATAAGTTTGGTTACTTACATGTGAAAAACATAAATATAAACCATAACTAACTTCTTTATTTAAGGGCTCTAAGCCTATGACTTTGAACATAACCCCATTCTTCAGCTTCACTTCCTCACACTTGTGTTCCCTTATGTCTGAGTAAAGGCAGCAGCACAGTGATGTCAAACTTTCACCTCAGTGACATCATCCCCTCTGCGAAGGACCTCCACAGTTACTACCGCTATGTGGGCTCCATGACAACTCCAGGTTGTGAACAAGCAGTCGCCTGGACAGTTTTTCAAAGGACCCTGTTGATCAGCAGTCGACAGGTGAGCAAATATTACTGTCTCATCTCCATTTAAGGAGAAATTGTGACGCAACTTTATCAGGGTCAGTATACAGGTGAAGTGTAAAATAAAACTTTTATAATTAGATTTCTAGTCATTAAAAATATGAATGACTTCATAATGAATTTTAAGAGCAACACTGAAAATCTTGACAGAGAGGTGCCTTTAAAAATAAACTAAAGCTATTTTATTTGAAGCCTCTGAGCATTAAAATAATACTTCATGCAACTTCTGACTAAATAAGTTGAATCTGCCTTTCTAATTTTTGACCTTTCATCTTGTTTTTTTCCTGTATAAACTACCTCCTTCCTCCTATATACATTAAACTTCTTATTATTCCTCTCTACTGCAGCTGGATGCAATATTCCGGCAGTGTCGTTTTTGGACGGGACAGCCCATGACAGACATCTTCAGACCTACGCAGCCTCTGGACGGCAGAGTCGTGTACCGTTCCAGGGCGGGCGCAGCTCAGGCCATTGCGGTCCACTTGTGGTTTGGTGTTTTCTTAGTTGTGCTCGGGACAACGGGTCTGATCCACTGACTCAGCACATGAAAACACCTGATTTAAGTGGCGCAAAGCTACTGTGTATATTGTATGTAAAGGCAACTAGAGTCAGCAAACTGGTAATTATGGTTATTCATTAAACAAAATTGCTACTGCATATTGAGCTGACTGTACATGAGAGGTGGTAAAAACGTCTCACTTATTGGTAACACCTTTCTTTTGTTTTAGTACTGGTGCATTTATTCACACTGCTTACTCACATTTTTCATTAATTTAAGGATATTCATTTTGCCTGACAAATTGCTAGAGGTGTTAGTAGTATGTCTCTGGTGGGGGGGGGGGGGGGGGGATTTTGATCTC